TCACCTACCGCTCACCTACCCACTCTCTTGCTTCTTCTTGCTTCTATAAATAGAGAGGGTGTGAGGCCCAAGAGAGCAAAGGGAAGAGATCTTAAGCTAGCACAAAGGAGGAGAGAATAGCTAGAGAGCTAGAGAAGAGGAGAGCATCTTGAGGCATTGTATCAAGGTGTCGCTTGAGAGAGAGACCATAGAAGAAAGATGAGGGCTCATCTCTATGTATAAATTATGTATTCTCCATTTCTTTTACCTTAGTGAAATATTTGATTGATTCCCTTCCGTGGACGTAGATCCAGTTGGATCGAACCACGTAAACGATCTGTGTTTGCTTGTGTTCCGTTTTCGTCTCATTTCTATACCAGAAAGTAGATATCTCACAACAATTATGCTACCCTGAAGATATTAAAGATTGTGGTGATGGACTCTCGTCATAATTTAAAACCTCTTTCCCATAAATGAGTGCCATCATGAAATTTTCACACTCTTCTATGAGCAAATTCAACATATGAAGTGCTTTTTCTTCATATCCAGCATCCTCTTCTAGATTTAATAAATTTGTTAAAGACTTTGTAAAATCAATCAAGTTCTCATCAGTAGCAACACCACATCCCATCTTAAACTTACTCGAGGTTTCATATAGAGTTGATTCTTCATGCTCTTCGTGAGATATTTGTTCTCAAACATTCTCTATAATTTTCCGGCAGAAATATCCCTCATCAAGCCATATTTGATTTCTTGACATAAGCAATTTCAGATTGAGCCACGAGCATTGATATTCATCTTCAACCATCGAAAACTTTCTTTACATTTAAATAGCACAACATATCTATCACCTCCCATCACCATATGCCAATGTTTTTTTTTGTTATCAAATCTTATCACATTGATTTTGACGGGATCAATAACCATCTGATGAATCCATATATTTTCTATCGTCATGGTGAATGTTCAAATTTCTAATAGCATTCTACTATCCATGACTTCTTCATATCTCATAACCTAACTTGCTCTGATCTCTTTGGTTTGTGTCTACAACTTCATCATAATCACAGTCGCTTGTTATCGAATCACCCAATCTAGCTCTGGTACAAAATTATTGTGCAAAACAATGCGAAAAATAAAATCACACTATAAACAAACAATCAAACATTATTCTTTACATGGCTCGTTAAAAATCCGCCTACATCCAAGGGAATGGGTTATTCCACTACCAATAGAAAGAGAGACAAAAAATATCCTTATAAAAATTAGTCATAATCATTTCAATAAATAAAAGAAAATTATGATATAGAAATACAAATATGTCAAATATAGAACCGAACATATAATTAGAACTTCTTTAATAAGATTACCTCACTTCTATCTTCTTAGCACATAATAGATTATGGACCCCTAACACCTAACATTAATTGTCCTAATATATGACTATTAAATCTAATACTTTTTATAACAATGAATACATAGGATAATATTAAAATCTATTTATTTTCATATTAAACCAGCAAAATTTTCATTCGATACTTCATTAATTAGTCATGTAATTAACTAAAAGAGCCTTAAATATTAATCCAAGGAACCATTCAACAATCGTATTAATTAATTATGACAGCTGGTATGAAGCTTCCTCAGCTTCGTCTTCCACCCTCCTTGCACTTATTATAATATATTATTTGCATAAAACCCATCGAAATTCATCTCTTTCTCTGTTTTTCATGCGTTCGAATATTTATCGAAATAATCGAATTAAGAACTGATTGCAGACAGGAAAAGAGAGAAACAGAGCATGGAAGAAGAAAGGAAGTGGGAGAATTTGGCTTCAGACTGCTTGGTCTGTATATTCTGTTATCTAGGAATGGAAGAGCTGACAGTTGCTCTTCCATTTGTCTGTAAATCCTGGCATGAAGCTTCTTTGGATCCTCGATGCTGGAAGAAGCTGAACTTCCTTGAACTGGACTTCAGTTCTGGAAGTAATTTTGAACGAAGATTCAAGCAAGAGTATGGCGTTGGGAGCAGGTTCTGTTTTTCTTCTTTGGTGAAGCTCTGCATTGAGCGCAGCCATGGATCAGCAGTGGAGCTGTCGATCCCGTCTGTTTGCAGTGATTCGATTCTGCAGGCTCTGATTTCTGCTTCAATCGGGTAAGAATTTGACAACATATAATTCGTTAACATTATATTCTGAGGCTTCGAGAGGTGCTTGAAGCTTTGAAAAAAAACTGAAGTCTAGCATTACACCTACCACCGTTAATCACTGCCGAACGTCGTCATCCACAGTCAATCGTTGCCATCCACCGTTGATCATTGTCGACCATTATCGCTACCGCCTATCAGTCACTGTCGTTCGCTATTTGGTCGCCCTCAGTTCCTTACAACAGGTTCATCCACACATTAACGTTGTAATTTGAGAGATTTTGCAACACTTTCCTGCATGTGGGACAATGGGTCTTTCTAATCCTCAACTTATAGTGAATTTTTTGCAACTGGGTCAGACCCATTAGTTTTTTCCCTTTACAGATTTACCACAAAAACTTCTAGTGTCTCAACTGGTTGTTCCTTTCATCTGAGTATGTGTTGCATTTTCATGTAACACTAAGACGATAATCCATTATTTTATCTCCATGAATTTTCTAGCACGCATCAATATATATATATATCATGTCAATACCGCATGAATCTAAGAATTAAACAAATTTGATATTTACATTGACAATAATTTATTTATCTATAAAAACATGTATTTCATTTTAAGAAAGTAATACTAGTAATTAATATATTTCATGCATATTTTCATACATCAATAATATGGCATGTATGCTAAAATTAAAATTTGTGTTAAACCTATAAATACATATGAACTGATAGCATATATGTAAATCTTTTCATCTATGCATGCAGATGCCCCAAGTTAAAAGTGGTTGAATTCCCAGGCGTACGTCGCCAAGATGAGAAGCAACTTCCTCAACTGATAAGCAAATGGAAAGAGCTTGAAACTCTAAAGATCTCATTGAAACCAGTTTCATTCATAGAAACAATTGAACAAATCAACATAAACTGCCCCAACTTTGCAGGGCTTCGCTTATATGGATTATTTAATAATGCAGAAACAAAAGCCATTGCCGGATGCATCCCAAGATTGAAAATTTTCGCCATAAATGGATCTATAATTGACAAGGAAGGTTTGATGGAGATATTGGATGGTTGCAGTGAGTTGGAGGTGTTAAATGTGTCGGATTGTGCAGGTTTTGATGTTGATGATGAGATATTAATGAAGGCATCTAAGATCAAGAAGTTTGTCTTTAATGACGTTACGAAGGAAGGTAACATGATACATCACTTACTTTTAGAGAGATTACAAGTTGTTACAAAATATTCGCATTGGCAACAAATAATGTAACTGTTGTCATTTTTGGGCATCTTATTCCAATGATTATTGTTGTTGTGAGTATAACAACAGTTCAATTATGTTAAGCCCAGTGATCTTAATATCGTTGTAAAACTTAGCAGTAGTTAAGGCCATTTCAAGACCTATTTTCTATTTGTGCTTGCCTTCGCATTGCTCAATGTGTACACTTTTTTTACTGATTTGTAATGACTTTTAAGGGTTTGTTTATTAGTTTGATATTTTGATGTGTAATTTGAGTTAGAGCTTGGCATATGTATTTGCAAGCATTCATACAAAATGTATAATGTATTATGATGTGTTTTGCTGAAAATGACTTATAAATTGAATATATAATAAATATAGAAAAATTGATTAAAAATTATATATTAAATCTTTTCTTATGGTAGCTTAAAGGGTTATAATTTAACAGATAGGTATTCTTAAATAATTAATTATATAATTATTGATTACACAAAGCTATTTGGAAATATAATTTAACAGAGATATTAGAACATTATATTAATTAAACTTGTGTTTGTATAAACTCATAAGCCATAATTGTGAGGTACATATGTTTTCGTTCTTTTTTGTAACTTTTGGAATCACTAACTTGTCTTATCGTCGTCTTATAATCATCATTCCAAATAAATCTTTTTTTTTTAATCACTAAGATGATTCAAATGGGTGAGGAACCGAAAAGAAAGAAAATTCAATGAAACTAGGCAAACAAATAACAAAAGAACGTGAAGAACTTTTATGTGGTAACATTCACGTGATAGCTTTTATCTCAACGGCTGACCCTTCCCATCCAACACTAATATACTAAAATTGTCAATCAAAAGAAACAACTACTAACACATTTTTTGATGTTAATCTCTTTCTATTATGGTACATGTTTTATGTCTCTTTGTTGAGCACTATGAAAACATGAGTTCCATCAATTGCTCCCATTTTATTTTTAAAATATGGAAAAAAGAGAATTTTTGCAAATATAAGAGTCACAATTCACTTCACCGAATGACAATTTATTGAACGTTTTTTATAATGATTTAATCGCTTGCAACACAACATACAGATACATACTAAAATTTTATAAAGACTGTTGAAAAAATGCACTGAAGTGTCCATATCTATGAGCATGTGCTACTATTCTAAGAAAAACACACAACTCTTATGGGACATTCATATTTTTTTTGTGACGTGTTTAATAACTCTCTCAATCGTATGAAAGCTTTTGGTGGAAACTTAAAATAATTATATGATCTTTTTAGATGTCCAGCTAGCACATCTATAACATACTGACGGTCTAAGTAGAATCTTTCGAACACATAGGCCTACGCATTTACTCATTCTCATCATAAGCTTTATTTTCCTCTATAACTAATGGTATCAACTCTGTTATAGTTCGGGTTCTAAATGAACCAATGCATTCCATGAACAACTTGAACTCGGCCCAATTAAGGCTCGATCATATTCATCTAAATTAGTAAATAAACAAGGTTGAATAATTTCTAAAAGCTCGAAGCTTAAACGAATTGAAAATGATCATAGTCAAACTTGTTTGTTTATGTTCACAAACAAACTCGTTTGTCATTCAACAAGTAATAGATATTAAGCTCGATAATAACTCGTATAATATATATGATATATTATTTATGCATTTTTTAATTAATTAGATTTTTTAATTATAAATTTAATAGTAATATATTATTATATCAATAATATTTTCAGTTTAATTATTAATTATATATATATTAAAAAGTGAATGTAATTTAGAATAAGATATTTACAGTTAAAGAAAGTGACATAAAAGATTTTTCTTATAGTGTTTTCATAACCTTAAAAGTAATGAGTTCGGTTTTTATGACCATCACAGTGCAATTATCAACAACATTATTGTAATTCTTTTGTTATTAATATAATTAAGTAAATTATTATCCCTTTAAATTTAATGATCAATTTAGTTCTTTTACCCACAAAATTTGAATAATTATAATCATATCAATAGAAATTATATAGCTAATTAGTAAATTTCAAAGATTTTAGAGTTAATAATCGACAAATTAGTAGATGTGATTAGAATTACAAAATTATTTATTAATTTTTTTATATGCAAATCTAGATTATCGTTTGAATTTTTTTTTTTTAAATACTCGTTCACTTGTCATGAACAAATCAAGTTCAAACATTGAGAAAGTTATACAAATCAAGCCTGAACAATGTATGAAAGCTTGACATAAGCTCGAGCCGAACACGAACAACTTATAATTATACCAAGCCAAGTATGAACAATGATATACTCAGCTCGATTACAACCATAGTTATTGCATTAGTGAGTTGTATCTGTGTGTCAATGATCTAAAAAATCTCTTCTAAAAAAATACCACTAAGATAATTTGACATTACTTTTTTTTTTTTTTTTTGGAAAATCACATTAAAAGTATTTTGACATAATAAATATTCAATAAAATAAATATCCAACATGAAAATTACAATTTTTTTGTAAAGAGATTATAAGCACATAAATATGGAAAGATATTGGTTGAAACATAAATCATTGTAGCAATAGTACAATAAGAACCAACATAATGTGAAATCTATCCCAGCCAAGCTGGCTGTAAGTGCAAACGAGGATGGGACTTTGGTATAAATTCAGTCTAATTATGTAGAAATGGGTCGTTTGTTTTCATGAGAAAGTTTTTGTTGTTATTGTCTTTCATTAATGCATCATGAATGACGATTACAACTGCATTAGAAATGTTTGGAATGTTGTCATATTTCATCAGACATTTAAGGGCATTGTCGTTTCAAAATATTGGTTGAAGACCTGTATATTTGTATCAACTTCCTCAAACAACATCTTCATTTTCTCATTATTTAGTTCTCTTATTCTAATATTTTTTTAGACCACCTCGTACAATTACTTATCTGTTTTCATTCGGTTGAGTGGTCAACGACTGTATGTTCACATCTTCATTCATTATAACATCCGATGCTTGAGCAAGCACAATTATCTCATCAATGAAGGCCACTTCACTCAAGAACACAAAATGATTAATAGGTGTAGTCATTTCTTCTTCTTTCATCTCCTCTGGATAGGGCTCATGGTTGAATCGTATGGCTCCAGTACCAATTTTTATATTATGCCCATAGATCCTCTAAAACATCTCATATTGATGGAAAGGTTCTTCGAAATAGTGCTAATTTTGAGTTTTCCTATAAAAATTTGTCAATAATTACAATATTGTATAATTTTGATTTATTATGTCAATGGACAAGATAACAAATAATTATGTTTTATTTTCCATCAATGTTAGAACTAAAAGTCTAAAAGCAATTTGTGTTAATGTTCCTTGGGTTTGGGCCAAGATTTTTTCAATCAAATAATTTAGTACTCCAATGAAAATGAATCTTGGGATGGCATGAAACTAGGTCAAAATCAAAATTATTCAATTACTTAATGCAATTATACAATTACATTGACGGAAAATAAATCCTAATTACGATTGGTGATATGCGGCGAGGACGAATTGTTTGAATCGTCTATATGACTATTGATGGAATGTAGATCCCAATGTTTATGCATCACCAATAGCTTACCTCCTCAATGGTTACTGATTGGAGAGGCATGGAAGGAAGAGCAATCTTGGAGTTTCGGTGGTCTCTGCATGACGCTATCTCGTTGTTGCCTTGGCATGGAAGGAAGAGAAATCTTGGAGTTTCGGTGGTCTCTGCATGACGCTATCTCGTTGTTGCCTTTCCATCCAAGCGATTAAACACTATCTCGTTGTTGCCTTTCCATCGAAGCTCTAATCGCAAATGTATCGCAAGGGTTCGTACGATATTAACATGAAGAAATTCAGATTTAAATTATCCCCAGATTTAACATGCACACATTAATTGTTTGTCGACGCAAAACCCATAAATCCTATTAAAAAGGCCCTTCTAAACAACCCTTAAATTGAATTCAAGTGACTTTCTAATATTAAAGAGGATTGGGAAATGTTTGCATTATTTTTATTATCTTGAAAACCCTGTCAAATGCTAAAACGGCTCCCTCGTTATTGACAAAGAGATTTGATTTGTATGCTGCTCATTAATGGTAGTAATATGACATTTCCTAATGAAGAGCACTTTGAAACATTATTACAGTAACATCCTTCCTGAGAGCAAAGTGATAGTGATGCATGTATTAATTGCTATAATAAAATCAAACTAGCAAATTTTGATAAAGAGTACAAGGGTGTCTTGGAACTTCATATCTAATGCAAAATTAACTCTAAAAAAAAGCGGCTCTTATGTATATAGCATCCAAAACTTTCATATTTAGTTATCTTCAAGCTTTTATAATTACAAATATTATATAAAAATTAGCACTCATTATTATCTTTTAATAGTCAAATTCATATTTTAATCCATAGACGTGCAGCGAGGCAAACGTATTCTTTGATCTTCTTCTCCTTTGTGACTCTTCCCCTCTCCAACAACGAGCTACTAACATAGAAATTAAGTTGTGAAGGAAACACGAAGCACGCGGTCCTTAAATACAACTCCAGATCTGATTTAGTAAATCCGGGATTTACGCTAAGTTGGAGGAACATTGTGAGTTTAAATCCATCTTAAATTAGCCTACCAAACTTGTTCCTGGCAAAGATATGTAAATAGCTGCTCTCCCCATTGAATGGCCGAAAAAAAAAAGCTTTTTTTTTTTCTTTTTCTGTTCAAAAAAAGACTAAAGGAAGAGCTAGCCTGTTTTTCCTCTTGCGTGATGGCTGTAAAAGGAAGGAAAGTACTCCCTCCAACTAAACACTCAACCGCCATTTTCGTGAATAGCCATGAGTATGAGAATCGGTGCTGGGAAGACAAAAGTCTGTTTTTTGCCAGCCCAAAGATTTTCCTTTTCTTTTGTTAAGGCATAATGAGAAGAAGGGATAAATGCTGCGCCTTTTGTCAAGGCAGTTCATATTAGAGCTAGTATGCCGCTGTTTTGGCTGAGGAAAAGAACTTTAGCACTTCTTATTAGAGCTGATAAGTTAATTGTCAATTTTCTCCACCCCTTTCTAGAAAGAGATTTTAATATAACATTTGGAATGAAAAGGAAGAATGTATTATTTAAAATTGCATAGCATTAATAAATACATAAATATATCTATGGATATTATTTTGAATAATAAATTATTCAAAAGATGCTACTACTTACCATACATTTCATATCGATTTACATATCTAACAATTAAACATTCATATTTACATGAATAACACATAAATCCTTAACATCATATCAAAATGACATTAATATCATCCAATCACTACCTTTTAAGAGTGAATCATTAACAGCTTTTCATGCACCGATTAATGACAACATTGTATTATAAATGTAAATAGAAAGTTTGGTTGTTAGATATGTAAATACGCTGGCATTGTAGGGTTTGTATATAATTTATCTTTTTATAAGGGAAATTACATGTCTAGCACATAATTCTAATATATTTACACATCTCGCATCTAAACTTAGATCCACTATCTCAGTTGTCAAAAACGGCACCAGAGAACGACGTAGAAAATTCTACCGCGGTAATTGTAGCCAGAAAAAGTCAGATGTCGAAAGAAAAATCAGATTTGTTGCATACATTGACTGGTGCACTTGTCTGACGGTGGATGGGCGTGTAGTCACCGTTTGACTTCACAAGCCACAACAAAGTTCGGCCACCGTGTGACGCCATCGTAACAGTACCCTATATAAGTAACATTACTATTTGAGAGTCGTAATATGAAATATGAGAGGTTTAAGGACCTCAACATGTAAAAATCCTAAAAATATATTACATTTTTATAAAAGTAATGATGGTATTATTTTTTAAGCGATATTAAGGAATTGAGTATTATGTATGTAAACATGAAACTTCAGGTGTGAGATACGTAAAAGTTGTGTGCTTTATATGTAACTTATTATTTTGTGCAGCCAAACATACGTCAACACGAGTCTTGATGAGATCCTATATATTGAAAAGCAAACGGTCAAAGATGACCCACGAGAGGTTAAAATTCACATCAATATGAACCCGCGTGATCTAATTTCTAACCATGGACTCTTCAAACTGTGGCTAAAGCTTGCCGAACGAAAGCCTCTCAATCCAAAGATCAAAACTTGCCCAACAAAAGAAATGGATTTGCCACTCCCCAAAATAGCATGAGTCAACTTAGAGAAACCATCTAAACTCATTAAGATTATTTTGGTGCCCTGTTCAACATCCACATAAAACCCCAATGGTTCTCCTCTAGGGGTGGGCTACCTGTCGGATTACGATAATGCGTCGTTTGCCGGACAACCTAATCTTATCTTGGTTACAATAATCCCACTTAAGGGGCCAACAACTAATAATTGAACCAAAGGAGCCGGCCAAACGAAGTCGTACAAATGAAGGACCCTCATAAGTCGACTGATTGTCCTTAGCAAGGTTGATTTAATGTTCGCAGCCAAGTCGACCGACTGTTCTCCGTCAGGTCAGCCAACCTCAGGCGACCGAATGATGGGTAGCTGACCGTGACTCGTCTAATTTAACCAGATGAACCTGGTCAACTTAAGGGCATCCGACCTTAGGCAACCGAATGATGGGTAGCCGAGCTAGAGACTTATTCATTTATTTATCTATTTTTTTATTTATTCATGTATTTAATTATGACCAAAATACTCTTTCATTCTAATTCAAGTAGGGGATAGCTTGTAAGTGTACATTTTATATCCCTTTGCCTATAAATAGAAAGTTATTTCTACATTAAAGGGCTAATAAATCATTCAAACTAATACAGTCTCATTTCTACTCTACTAATCTCTCTTCTTCTCCTCTCATATCCTATGCTCTATACCATGAGTGTGTCTCATCAAAAAATTTTGGATTTAGCATGCTTATATATATATATATATATATATATATATATATATATATATAGCTAGACTCAATTTTATTGAAAGATATCGGCCAGTGACAAAATTGATACAACTCACACAAGAGAAGAAAAATAAAAAACAAAACCAATAAACAACAAAAAACTAAAAGAAAAGACAACAATCAACTTCCCAAGTATCAAATGAAGGAGCAACAAAACCAATCCACAAGGAAATAGAGAATCATCTGCACAAAACCAAACAAAAGAGCAACTACTAAAGAAAAGACTAAAAATACGATAGAAAAAGAGAACTAGCAACTAAAACAAACACAATAAGAAAACCAAAAAAAGAAAGAAATATAAAAATGAAATCATGAGCTCGAACTTATCTAAGATGAATACTAGAATTAAATCTAAGACATAAAATTTAGTTTAAAATTGATTGAATTTTAATATTTACTGAAATTCATCACGCTGAATATCAAATCTAAGCATAGAAGCAAAGATTAAGAATATTAAAAATCAATATATTTTCGGATTCCGACATTCATATGAATACATACCTTTAGAGTGCCATGTGGGTAAAAAAGGATTACCTTTGCCTGTCGTTTTGAACACGCGCTTGTACTTTCAGCCGGACATCTAAAAATGGCGGAACGAAGCCGTGTTTTCCGCCTGCAAACCCACAGCGCGCATCTCCTCCGCAGCAAATCATGTAGCCCGCTGCACACCCTCCTCCCTTTTTGGTTCGCACATCGCAAAATCAGCTCCCCACCCGCGCTACACATCCGCCACACGATTCCCCTTCCCTGAGAGTCGAATCGTACCACGAAAGTCACAATCTGCTTACAGGATCTCCCGACAGCGTTCCGCCAATCCATCTTCAACATGGAGCTTGTTAACGGTGATCTGCCGGAGGTGGATCGCCACCGATTTCCCGACACCGCACCCGTCGGCACCATCGCCGCACATTCCCTCCATTTCCCCCACCACAGCTGCGGCCGCCGGTCCTCCTACCCATCTCCGGGCGCCGTTCGCCTCCGCGCCTACCGATTCGACGGCCACGGTGGCTTCCTCTCACGTGATTGGGATATTGCTGAGGCAGAATCGTCACCACACGAATTCAATTGGTTCCACGTTGACCTCCCTAAAGGGAACCACAAGCTTTCCGTCTCGGCGCAGCTCCTAATCGATGTCCTATGCCCTCCTCTGAAGCTACAGGACATCCTCTCATTAGTCTCCAATGGGCCATTCTGTGCTCACGTCGACGGTGCCCTTATCTTCCGCGTGAACTCACCCGGCCCTGCCACATCGGATTTCACCCTCCGCCTCGCCGCTCGTGTTACGGAGTCTGCTGTTATTACTGTCTCGCTCGGGCGTGTCCCGAGGTTAGGGTTTTCTCAGACCGGACAATCTCTGCTTTCGGAGATCCCTGTCGTGGACCATTGTAGGGGTGATGACGATGAGGAGGAGAGCGTTGTGGGTGATGGAATCGTTATCCGTGAGCATGTTCTTGAGTTTTTGCTCACGATGAATCATTCTGAGGAGGCGGATAATCCTGTGCCGAGGACCGTGTCTGATTTGGTGGTGCATGTTATTGATACGCATGTCGATCATGTGCAGGATATTGTTACCAGACTGGAGATTCAACTCGATTCCATCGAGCTTGAATTGGATAGAGGTATGATGTTGGTGATGCATTTGTGGTGTTTGATGAAATGAAATGATTTGATCATGTTTTCTGGGTTTCAAAAGTGTTCCTTTTACATCGATTTGTAGAACTTGTCACCATAATTATACTTAGCAGTTTATTGATATACTTCCTGAATCTTTAATAATATTAGTATGTAGTAACCTCCTAATCTATATTTTCTTATTAATGTACTAATCAGTCAAGTTTTATATCAAGTTTTATTAACATAATAACTTTCGTTTATTCAATTTTCCATGAACCTAAAATGCTCATTGGTAAACTCAATCACAAATTGAGTTTGGCTAGAATTAATGGCATATAAGCTTAAGTTGACCTACCATAATCTGGCTTGATTGATTTTTTTGCTCCGATACAGTATCTGAGGATTCATTCTTACTAGGGTCTAATTATTGGGCTGGCTATTTAATAATTAAGCTGAATCTATATGTAATTTTAAGAAAAGCTTAATGGAATGTTTCCTTTAGGTTAGTACCATGATTGATCTTTGTAAGAGTTCATAGATTGGGTATTGTACCCGTATGTTTATAGTTATGCACTTGGTTAGCTGCTTTTTGTTGTCCATAACATTCTCAATATATTTATGACTTCATGTAATTTGCCTTTCAATTCTCCATTTTGTTTATTATAGGATTGAAATATTTCTCTATGTTAACCACTTAGCTTCACATTAAGGAGCCAACCTCTTAATATTATATTGCATTTCCACAATTAAAGGCTAGAATGAATTTTGATTGGTTTTAGAAAAAAAAATTTGGAGGTTTCTTATTGATATATCGGGCAATTAAAATACCTTGATGCTTTAGATGACTTCCTTTTGTTGCTTTCTCTTTCTATTTGTGTAGACGACAACCCCAAGAAAACACCATGATAAAAACCAAATTGCATCTAAAATAACAAGCAAGCTTAGTTCACTTTTAAAATATCGGTAAAACTTTATTATCATTATTTATAATTTTAAATTTTAAAAAGTTTTCTTTTTCAAGACAATTCAAAATTCATTCTTATTATGTTGCAATATGAAATTTGATCCAATAATACAAACTTCACACCTAATTGTCATTATAATGCCTCTACCTGACGATTTTAACTTCTTCAATGGACTTTTGGCTATATTTTTTTTTCGATCTTTTTATTGTGATCCAAAAATCAATGCCACTGACAATTAGCATTAAGAAATCTTATGTCCATAATTTTAATGAACTTAGCATCATAATCACTTCAAGATTTGATGCCCAAACTATGAACGATGTTTCTTCTTGTTGTCTTCAGTACAATCAACAGTTAGATTATTCATCCTCATTTTCTACTCTCCATATTAAAGGCCCCCCACTTTTAGCAGTATTTCACTAGCTCGAAATCATAACTTTGGGTGACGGAAGATCATTTTCTAGCTTAGTATGTAAAGTTAGCTAAACTAGCTTGAGCTCGATATGTTAACGAGCTATCTAGTCAAGCATTGAGTGATGATCTCAATATTTAGTTTAGATTAATGATCATGTATTATATTAGCTAGATTTCTAGCTTTATGAGGCTTGGTTCATCAGCTTGCTAGCATTGATGGAAGAAGTGATGAATACTTTCTCCAATTAGTTTCTATCGATGCGAACGAGCTCTTGTTGTGAGGATTTAGAGAATTTATAGACCTCCGGCTCACGAGTCGTGCTCGTTCCCATTGTTATTTGGATAAGTGGGATTTGATCATGTCATTAGGTTGGCGAGTTCAAATTAATTGTGATTTGAGCTCAACTTGACTCCTTTACACTCCTATTTCCAACATCCCAAGTATACATTATGTTGGGTCTGGCACCTCATTTTTTAGGAAGTTTCTAGGAGATTTTTTAAACTTTTTTTGAGAGCTTCTTGGTTCATGGAGCTTACATGGCATTTCATCTTTAGGATCATCTTGCAGATTCCGAAGTCATACCTTGGGTTGTTGGATGTACTAGATGATTCTATTTGGTTTTATTGTAAGGTTTCATATTTCAACATATTATATACAATCCTAATTTCTTCACCAAGCTGTCATAAATTCAGTTATCTTGATTGTTAGTGTTAAAGATGGCACTGATCACCTCTTACTTAACCTATACTCTTAGGGTGAACAACTTCTCTCGTATATCCATATTGTAAAATGATCCCACCACTATATCATTTGTTTTTTTCCATTAGAGATAGAAACGGGCACGCCTTATCCATTGGACTCAGTAGCATTTTTGTCCATCACATCTACATGACAATAAGTGCTATTTCACCTCTTTCTTCATTTTCATTGCATACCATGACAATAAGCAGTTATCTATTGGGTTGAGTTGCGTATTTTGAAGATAAGGTAGTGAAAATTAGATGGTCGAGATGCACTATAAAGGTTAGAAGAGTATTCAGAAAGATGAGTAATTAATGATGTAGCTCAAAAGAGGTTTAATACATCATGCTACTCTCAATAGGAATGAATAAAAATCTTGAATTCATAAAGCTAACCCGAATAATTGGGAAGGCTAATAGTGATGCTGGTGATTCACAGGTATAAAATCAATGACTATTTATAGTAGTTTTGATTTATGAAACAAAATATGATTACAAAGGAGATTCTAAAGTGAAAGGACAATTTGTTATGTTTTTTGGTCAAGTAGGAAAACCAATGTATTCAACACACTTTCTCATTGATATCAGAAGCAACTTAATAGTTTGATTATAGGATTTCACGCGAGATGCAAGTTTATTATGCTTCTAGTCATAGATGTAAAATTCAGCTTTGGTTTTGCTGTAGTCAAGAGCTTTTTTGCAAAATTTGTCAATCAGATGAAAACTTTATTCCTTAACTAATAAGTTTTCTACTATTAAGAAAAATGTGACATTCCCCCACCTCATTTTTTATTATATTTTTATAATTATTATAGTGTATCCTTACAAAGCCAGTAAAACCGATAATATTGGACATAAGGTGGGGGATTCAATCTCAACTCAAGAAACAAGCCTCAAGAGGTAATACTTAGCAAAACAATTTTGTAATGAAATATGATTCACATATAAACATATGCAGGAAATATGTAGTCATAAATATAAGAAATAAAATGTTATTGTAAAATTTTAATAATTTTCCAGCTATAAAAAATATCAACTAATAGAAAATAATTGAATCAATAACTTATGCAACCACTCAAAGGCCAATAAACTTCTAAACTGAGATGTACAATTTTGACATAGATAATGAATTTTTGATATAATAATTGTTGAAAATGATTGTTGTGAATTAAAGGTTTACGGATGAATATGGTGTGATTGCCAAGAGAAATAATAATTTCAAATGAGTTTATCATAAAATGGTTAACTTGTATCCATTAAAGCATACAAAAACAACAACAAGCCTTTTTCCCAGTAAATGGAGTCGGCTAAATGCAAGGGTAGAACTATGTTATATCTAAGGTAGACAATTGCTCACCCTGAAATTTTCACTGTATAAGTAGTTAAATTTGGTAATTTTTTTTTATAGTTTAGGCAATTTAGTAATTGTATCCCCTCTCAATCTTTTTTTTTTTTTGCCGAATAATTAAAAAAAAATTATAATTAAAAAAAAATTAAATATTTGGTGATTTTTGTCCGCCTTAAAAAATAAAGCTAGTTTTGTCTCTGGTTACATGAATATTTTTTCTCCATTATGTACTATTGATTATCATATTTTCATTTGATTCTAATAAATTAGTATCATTTTTTTAAAAGCATTCCCAGGTCTTTTTAAGTCTGCCTCTACCTTTCTTTACATAAGTTAAATCTAAAACATCCACTCTACTAATTGGGTCATCAGATGGTCGACATTTAATGTGATCAAACCATCTAAGGTGATTCTCTCTAATCTTGTTTGATTCTCTCTAATCTTCTCTCTAATCTTGTTTGCCACTACCCTTTAACAGATATATTCATTTCTCATTTGTCTCTGAGTGTAAGGCCACTCATCCACCCAAGCATTCTCATGTGAGCAACACTTAATTTTATGCTACTCTTTTACAGGTCAACAGTCTGCACCATAAAACATTAGAAGTCTCACCATCATCTTGTAAAATTAAGATGCAATATATTTTTTAAGTTAATCGATAGGAACAATGAAAAATTAGACATGCAATATAAGTGATAAAAACTGCATGATTTATATTATAATATAAGTATAATAATTGTCATTATAACACAACATTTAGAATTATATTGTGTGGCATGTATGATGTCATTGTTCTGCAATTATTTACACTATGGCGATGTGCATAATCATTCGTATGAAATAAAAAGTGATCAATGCATTTACAAGCTAATATATGCATTTGTAGACATATAGATCACATTCATATGTAGATATGACGCGGTAATCATTTACCATAACATCATTTATATTTATATCTATATAGTCAATCTACCAAGGTAAACCTAAACAAAAAGAAGGATTTTGCCCATTAAACTAGAGTGAGGTCATTAATCTGCTTTTGATCAACTAGAGAAGATTAGAGACTAGGGTTCAGAGGAAAATGTCCGTTTTTTTATTTCATAAGCATTTATAATCATAGAGAACCTTTAATAAAATTGCATGCTTATACCCACTTCAATGGGGGCGTTGCAAGTCATTATTCTTATTAATTTTCTCTTTATTATGGGCATTATGGATCAATATTTCCCCCCTCCCCCCCGCCTTACCCCGAATATTCTCGTAATTATAACTACTATTGACACCCTTTTACATCCATAACTGATATTAACACCTTTTTGTATCAATAACTGGTATTGACACCCTTTCGTAAGTCTAAGCCTCCCGACCGGTAAGTCTTTGGATTGGTCGACTTGACCGGTTCAGGTTGGCTATTTTGTTTGGATGTCGATTGACCTTCGCTCTTGGAAATTTGGTGACTTTGGAAGTGGCAGCCAATTGACCTTGAGGTGATTAGTTTAGGTATCCCTTCTTGGCATGGGGGTCCTTCGGTAGGATAGGTTTTTCATCGATCGGCTATTCTTTGGTCGATCGACAATTTTCAATCAGTTGTCTTCATGAATTCTTGTAGCTTCTTGCCAGATTATTGATTTTCATCATTTCTCTTCTAGTTTAGACCGTTTTATCTCCTCGAGATACGTGTTGACTATTTTGTGTGTGTGTGTGTATGTGTGTGTACATATATATGTTTTCTTGAGCAAATCTTTTGTCAAATAAACCAGATTTATTTCACATTAGCTAAGATAATATGCATGAGAAACATGTGTGATGTGAATCATTTTAAAATTAAAGGATTTATGTAGCACTTAATATAACAAAGTTATCCGCACATCATGTAACATTAAAACATGCCATGAAGGTATGCAAACGTGTAAGACAAAATTGAACATGAAAGACATGACTGAATATATACAAGGTATGACATACAATCTACTAAATACTCGTGTAAACCTAGTATAAGTGTTAAGGATAATGCTTCTGATAAAGAATGGTATGTTTATCCTCCAATAAATTGAAGTTAGCTATCTCATGGTGTAGAATGGAGTCCAGCAAAGCTTTGATAAAAAACAATATAAATGGTAGCAAACTTAACGGCACAAATAACAAAGGCCTACATTAATAACGCACACATGCGCGCGCGCGCATGCTTATGCTTATTCTTTTGGCTGCATTTAGCAATTTATCTCTAGGGATTTCATGCGCTTCTGAAGAAGTTCTTTATCACCAGCCCATTCCATTATTATTTTTTCACACAAATTTCATAATATTTTACTGCTTATTATGCTTGATTTGCTGTATGAATTGTCAAATCATGCCATTACTTCTCATGTAGGCGGCTCTACACTAAAGAAACAAATGCTAGACGATAGAAGATTTCCGAAAATGCATTTGGATCTGCAGCGCCTTCTGCAGGTGATTAATCATTTTTACAAACTGTACCATTTCTTATAGAATTCCTTGCGTACGATAGACGTTCACAACGCTGCGTACGATTTCTAGGTTACATCGAGGGTATAACGGGGTTATATCCGCGGTATAACCCTTTGTAACCTCCATATAACCTTCTGTAACTTACTTGTAACCTACTAATAAATTCTTAATATATGATAAGAGAAACGCGGAACTTATTTGTAGATTACAAGTAGGTTACACTAGGTTACACTAGGTTACATGGAGGTTACAAGGGGGTATTACAACGGGAGAAACCCCCTATAACCCCCTTATACCCTCCCTTAACCTCGAAACGCATGCAGCGCTGCGTATCGTACGCAAACTTTTTCCATTACTGAGATATCAAATAATTGTCATTTCAATACAGAAATGAAACAAAATCCGTGTGATTCATTATTTTAAGCTGCTTCAATGCAGGTTGTAGCTCATGGTGAGCAAGTATTCCCACGCGTGAAGGAGAAATGTGCAGCCAAAAGCTGGTTTCTGACTGAAAACATTGTAGCTCTGGAGGAGCTGATTAATCGTCTTAGGAGACTAAAAGGGAATATGGGATTTATAGTAAATCGTGTAACAGCGATTCAGGCTGGTCTTGATAGTTGGCAAGCGGAACAAATAAACAGAAAACTCTATTACCTCTCGTTTTTCTCACTAATCTTTCTTCCTCTATCCATTGTTACTGGAAGTAATAATCTCAGTTGATATTCTCGTTTCATCACACAATTATTCTGCAAATTCCTTCATTTCACGTTTTGTTCTTCGTGGCAGTATTCGGCATGAATGTTGGGGGAGTCCCGTGGACAGGGCAGAATGAACCAGAATTAAAAGACGGATTTTGGAATGTTATGCTGCTCTGTGCTGCCATATTGCTGTTACTTCTATTTGTTTTTATTTTTCCATCTATCTATCGACGTATCGCTGCTTGGAGAAAGACAGCCGCACTACAAAGATCATGGTCTCTCAACAGAAAGTCATTCTTGAAAAAAACAGTCCGAAGGGGCGCTTTTCAGGGAGGCGGCGGCTATATTCGTCTTTAAATTGATTGATTCGAGGTGGCGAAGCTTCGATAATGGTATAGCTCTTAACATTTTGTTATATGTAGTAAGAACAATTTTATTTCTGTTGCTAGGAAATCACATCATCTGGCAACCTGAAGTTACAGAAGTTGTATAGAGGGCATTATTTGTAAGTTTTCAGGCGATATTTATATGTTGAAACCAAGAGAATTCATTAGCATTGAGATGCAATTTAATCAATTTTTGTATTTAATTCAGTTTTTTTTTTTTTTTTTTTTATGTTTTTGTTTTTGGCCGACTTATGTTTCTGTTTTTGACAGATGATGTTTTAAATTATTGTAGCCTTTTATTATCATTATTATTCTCTGAAATGTAATTAGTGAAATGATTTGAAATACCTTCAAATTAAGAGCATTTTGTCAGAAGCTCATCTTCCGGCAGCTTTGATGTTATGGTGAGTTGGAGAAGAGTCATTGTTGGCTTGAGGCTCTGAAAGTCTATGGGCCTGCATGTTTTTTGGTTGATCCAAAAAATATATATTGTTTTCTTAGGAGTACTGAATGTTTTTTTTTTTAAATATTTTTAATTGTGAAATTTTCATGCATTCCATATAATTCTACCACATAATTCTCATGTAATAATCATAAAATTTAATTAATTAAATATAAATATTTTGTAATAATATATATATATATATATATACATGTTTAAAATAATAGAGGTTGTTTGGTTCATTGAATTGGTAGCATAAAACAAATCAAACGCAGATGTTTTTAAAGTTCTAGTGTTTGGTTGATGAAAATAGAATGCAATATAAAATTGTGAAAATTTTAAAATTTGACCTAGAGTTTTAAACTAATATATTATAAATTCATTTTATTAGAGCAATTTTTAAACACAATGTAAGTTACAGTCCGTTCGCAACTGCCACCTGCTTACTTGTCGTTATCCACCACCACCTACCTTCATCGCTTTTCATCGATTGTATCCACCGCCATGGTCCACCATCCTTTCGCTATGAGTTGCTCCCCACCATTTCCACAATCCATATGATTGCTTAATCATTATTCAAAGGAGATCGAAACATCTCTTAATATGTATTTGAATATTATTTAATCATTATTTAAAGATATTTCAATTGTACTTATTTCTTGTGTGATCATGGTTCTATAACATTCCATGATTATTTGATAATCATTTAAAGATGATTCAATATTTGAATATGTTTCAAAGATGATTTGATTTTTACTTGAACATAGTTTAAACATGTTTATAAGGTGATTTGATCTTGCTTTAAATATATTTTGGACAAAATTTATCATATTTATTAATTAAATTTTTATAATTGACTCATTTGAGTAATATTATTATGTGTTTAAATATCTTATCTAATCATTCCAATTAAGAGATTATAATGCAAGTTATTCCCAATGTTGGGCTTGTAATAAGGAATTTACTAAGACAATTTGATGATAATGAACTCATTGATAAAATTGAGAGATCTTTTTTATTAGTTCTTCATAGCATTAAAGAATATAATATATATATATCATTACTGAGGTAGCTAAAGGTGCTAAGAAGTAGATGTAATATATTTTATTTAAAATTGAAGGGAAGAGCATAACATTTGAAATTTGTGAGTCCAATCATCAACAAACATTTTAGAAAATTATCATTTGATATGGAGCTACAAAATAAGAGCAAAAGCAATAGGATGCTCAATAACTACTTTGAGGAGGATAGATATCCTAACATTCACATTTGAAGAGCGCTTTATTGGAGGCATTGAGACACATAATCTATGAAAGCTTGGGCTATACTTATTTATAGATGAATATATATCTTATACCAATAGATATAAGCAAAGGTTCTCACATTACAGATGAATGCAGGTAAAAACTTTTGTCTGTGAAACTAATATTAAGATAAGGTATTAGAATACAACTACTCTCACAAGCAAATTAATGAAATTAATTGGCATTATTGTTCACAAGAAGATAAATATCTTATGTATTCAAGAAACTAAATGGTTGGAGAAAAGATTAAGGAGACTGATAGCTTAGGTTCAAAATTTTGGTATTCAGGTAGAAGTCACACTAGAAATGATGTAGGTGTAATTATAGATAAGAGTTTGAAAAAAATGTTGTAAAAATTAATATAATTGGGCATAGAATTATAACACTTAAGTTGTTGTTTGATACTAAGATTTTTAATATTATAAATGTTTATGCTCCTCAAGTAGGTTTAAATATATGTTCTAAAGAATAATTCTGGAATGACCTAGAAAAATTGATATAAATGATACCAATTTTTATTGGAGGAGATTTAAATGGGCATGCTAGTAGAGTGGTGGAAAATTTTAGAAATATTCATAGTGGCTACAATTTTGGAGTGATTAATGAATAAGGTAGAATCATATTAGAATTCGCTTTAGCGTATGATTTTGTTATTATCAATACTTTATTTAAGAAAAGAGATGAACATATCAGTACTTATAAGAATGAATCTAATAAAACACAAATTCATTATTTTGTTTTGAGAAGAAGAGATTGTCGAGAATGCAAAGATTATAAGGTCATTCCAAGTGAAAATTTTAATACTCAGCATCGATGATTAGTTTCAAATTTTAAGATGAAGAGTTGTGAAATAAATAATGCTATGAATCATTGTTGTAGAATTAGATGAGGGTACCTAAGAGATACAAATAAAATTATTTTTAAGAGTAAACTTCAACATTTTAAGATTTGAGATAATCATGAAGAAGCAAATTTTATGTGGGATAAAGTAACAAACACTATTAAATAAGTGGCAAAAGATGTACTTCAATAATAAAAAATAAAATTTTTTATAAATTAAAATAGTTGGTGGTATGTGCAATAAAAGATAAAATATAAGAAGTTGGATTATAAAAATTGGCTTAAATGTAAAAACTTAGAGAATTGAAAAAAATATAAGGTGGACCGTAGGGAGTCTAAGAGAATAATTTGTTACACTAAAAATTCTTCTTTTAGTGATTTTTATAATAGATTAAATACTAAAGAGAGTGAAAAATATATGTATAAACTACACAAACACAGAGAAAAGAAAAGCAAAGATTTAACTCAATTAAAGTGTAATAAATATGAAAATTAAAAAGTATTTTTCTTGAAGAAGATGCTCAACATAGGCGGGTGAGCTATTCTGATACTTTTCAATGAAGTTTCTGAAAATGCAATAGACCTCAGTGATCTCAATATCATTAATAAAAATAAATATTTTATTTTTATTGTTAATATGATTTATATTTAAGTCATTAAAGATGTGTATACTAGAGTTGTTACTTTTGTTTGAACATAAAGAGGATTGACAAAGTATTTTTTTACTTCAAATGGATTATATTAGGGATCTACTTTAAGCCGAATCTTTTTTACTTTAGTTTTGGATGTGTTTACTCGACATTTACAGGAGGATGTACCTTGGTGTATGTTTTTCATTTATGATATCCTTCTTGTGGATAGGACTAGAAATATAGTTCGGAAAAAAAAACCTAGATTATGGAGGCATACATTGGAGTTTAAAGGCCTTCGTTTGAATAGAACTAAAACTAAATACATGGAATGTAATTTTAGTATTAGTAGCCCTAGTGGTAGAGTTATAACTATGGGTGATCAAATCATTAAAAGGTATGAACGTTTTAGATGTAATACACAACTTTTTTACAAATATGATTCAACCACAATACTTTAGCTTGTATTTCATTAATAGACGTTTCAGTTTGTCCATTAAGATACATTTTTATGTTATTTCAGATTTTAAATCATTTTCAAAATAATCGGTTAATAAATAATAAATAAATATTAAGAAATACATAAAAGAAAGATTTGACACATAAACTTTGAATAATTTTTATGACTCCGTTATAAGCCCATTTTATAAACCGTCTACAACAAAATATAGCAAATGATGAAATTTAATTGTTATGATTTTTCCATATTTTTATGATAAATATAAATATGACACAGAGAACAACATACAGTTTAATATGTAATTTCTATTTTGATTGATGCATATAGATTGATCATAATTTTATATATTGTGGATTTCCTTATTTTGTTGTACGTGCATGTTTTACATATACGCAATGAGGTTGAGTATATTATAACTGCTAAAAATGCTATGACATTGTGAAATATGTGTGTGCAATAAATGTTGATTACTATGATTCATGTTGGCAGAGTTTTGTTAGCCTGCACATAAGGGTGGGCCGACGGTCTTTCCATTAAACAAGCTAGTGGTGTAAACCTGATACATTTTAGGGGTTCTAAGGGATGAATGTGATATGATATGAGTGTCGACAGACTAGGAGTGATGACTCGTGTACTGTGCCACCTGACTGTTGTTCTGAAATTTTCCTGACACGATATGATATGTTATTATACATGTTTTCTTATGATTGGTACAAAAAACCTACCACATATGATTAACATATCACCTAACTTGTATAATATATATATATATATATATATACAGGCACGAGAACCC